CAGGCGGAGGGGGCGGCGGGGGTGAAGTCCTGCCCGCGGGGCTGGGCCGGCGGCCCCTGCCGCGTGCGTGGGGTGCTGCTGTGTGCGTATGTGGGTGAAGCGCTAGCTGTCTCGTGTGCGCCGTCGCTGTCTCCTTCCCCGAGGCTCCTGCTCCCAGTCCCTGAGCCTGGCCTGGCCGCACACAGTGCCTCCTCCGGGACAACTCTACCCAGAGGCTTTCTTAATATCACCACGTGCAGTATTTATTAGCAGCTGTACAGTAGAGCACCGGAGATGCTGAATAAAGATGTGATGGAAGCCTCCGTGTCTTTGCCCGCCCGGGATTCCTTGTCTGGGGAGGTCGGAAGCAGAGGCGACGCTGCTTGCAGGGAGATGAAGGCCCCTGTGGGGCACGTGGCCTATGTGCGGTGCAGCAGCTCCATGGCGGCGCTGGCCGTGCTCTGCCCGCAGACGAAGGCACCGCACAGCACCGAGAGGATGCCCCAGGTGACGAGAGCAGCCCTGTGGGGACAGCAACCCGCTGCTGTGAGTGCGGCCCTGGCCATGGCCTGCTGGAGACACAGCAGGGCTCTACGCACGTCCCCACACAAGAACTCCCCAACACGCACCTGTGTCCCTGGGCCAGCTCCCCCACTGCCAGCACCAGGGCCCTGACCCATTGCTGCTAAGGGGAACCCCACTACAGCCCTTGGTCCAGCTGCTCTGCACTGCCCAGAGCCTGTGCTGCCACCTCCAGGCACCCCTTACTGATGTGCCCCCTGGCAACTCCTCCTCACCTCTGCCAAAGTCCAAGACAACCTGCATCCGGCACCAAGGGCTCCCTCAGTCCCTCTCCAGAGCAGGACCTGGACGTTGGCCCAGGCACACTTGGCGCAGGTACTGCTGGCCACCTCTTCCCACTGTGCCCACTTCCCAGAGCTTTGGCCCTGGCTTCTCCAGCAGCCACACTGAGCTGCTCTGGCTGCCCTCTGCCCACCAGTCACCTCTGCCACAGGGATATTTGGCATGGACATCCCTAGTGACCAGAGAGATGCCAGCTGCCACTGATGCTCACATCCGCCTGCCCCTGCTGCTACCCCTTCCCATGCATTGAGGTGTAGGTGCTTCCTGGCACTGTCACCCAGCCTGCTGAAATCCAGTCCCGCACTGCTTTGACCTTTCGTGGTAGCATTGCCTTGGCACGGGGCCTCTGCTGCTCAGCCTGGGATCTTCAAGCAAAACCCAGCCACCCTGACACACTGCCCATGAAGCTGCCCCCTGCAGTCAAGACTCCCCAACTGGGGTCAGAGGGAGACCGTCTGCCTCCATGGAGACCCCCTGCTCTGGCTGGGTCCTCACCAGCCTCCTGCCCCAACCTCAGTGTTCCCTGTGGACCCACTGCCCTCCTAGACCCCTCACTGTCCTCCTGCTACTTCTCTGCATGGATGGGGAAGCCCATCCCTGTCTTCATTCCTGGGAGATGGGTGACTTGTGAGCAGCTTGTCTCCGCTCAATCCTCACCCCTCTACCATCACAAATGAGGCCACCCCAAGATGCAGTGCTCACCCTCAACCCATGCTGCTCCTCCACCAAAGGGGATATGGGCATCCAAAGGGATGAGTTGCAAAGAGTGGCAGTCCACGAGGCCGCTGTGCCTTCACACACATTGCCAAAGCCCTGGGAATTGGCAGGGTGAGCAAGGAGGTTCCCGAGGTGGTTGGTCTGCATGGTGGATGGGCACCTCCAGCTCTTGTCCCACATGGAGGAAGGTCTCCCATTGCCTCCCCTAGAAATATCTCCATTCCTCAGCTGGCAGCCCTGTCCCTCCCAGCCCACCATGTCTCAGCTGGTGCTGAGGGAGCCACCATCATCTCAAGTCACATGATTTCCTTGTTGATGCTCCCTGTCTTCCTTGCCCTGGCAGGGCTCCCGTCATCCCTGCTCTTGTGCATTTCAGGCTCCCACCAGGCCTCTCCAGTCCATTGCGAAAGGACAGGAGTCGGGTGCCCTATATGGGCCCCGGGTGGCCACTGATTCCTTCTTCCTCTGCCATCTCACCCACGGTCAGATGGGCCCTGGTGGCTTGTGACATCCCTGTGTGCTGCCCAGCTCCTGGGAGCTGTTGTTCCCTCTGCTGTGCCTGCAGCACATAGCTCCGGTGGAGCTGTTGTGCACCAAGCCCACTGATACAACCAACCAAAAACACACAGAGACACCAGCCTCAAGGCACACCGAGCCCTCACTGCACCGTGGCAGCACCAGAAAGGGCCGTGTGCCATCCCCTGCCTCTCTGCCCTGCACTGTCCCAGGAACTGTGGAGCAGGAACGGTGCCCTGGGCATGGCAGGTGCTGGCCAGGTCCCTCTGGCCCTGCATGAAGGCTCCTCCAGCCCCCACCTGAGGTCCTTATGGGGGAGAGGGGGACAGTTGCGGTCACAGCCCTTCATCAGCTCCAAACTGTGAGGCCATTCCCCCCTGCACGTGCAGGATTCTCTGACTCTACAGCCTCCATCCTCATCACGTGCCCAGTGCTCCAGCACATCCCCTCCACACTTGCACTTGAGGCCCTAATCACTGCAGTCCCTGTGTCCCCACAGTGGGCACTGAGCCTCCCCCTGCCCCCTGCTGCCACCAAAGGAGAATAGGTAACAGGGACAAATGTCCCCATGCAGTCACTTCACATGGTTCCTGCCACCCATGGCAAGGGCTGGAGAAGCCATCTCTGTGGGGACTCTCCAGGGTACATATTGTGCCCTGCCCACCGCCACGCCTGTATGCAGACACTTACCTCCTCCGTGGCCCGATGGCTTCAGTTCCCATCATGCACACCAAGCACAGCCCTGCCACCCAAAGCAGAGACACATGGATGGCTGCCATGGCCACCACCTACCTGGACGCTTGCTCTGTAGCCCCTGCCAAGCAGGTGTGTGCCACATCATACACGAGCATCCACACACACAGTTGTAGCTGCAGGACCCTCACCACCGCGGGATTAAGGCATTTGGCCCTGGCTCTGGCTGCCCTGTGCCCTCAGATCTATGGACACCACCCAGGGGTGGGATCACTCCCTCTGTGCAGAGATCAGCACATCAGTTTCTGATTGTGGCTGGCACAGGGGGACCCTCCCAGCCACATGAACAGTCCCTCTGGCATGGCCTGGCCACCCTCACCAGCCCAGGTGCCCCTTCTCCCAGGTCTGAGGGATGTATGCCAGGCATGTCTGCATGGTGCATGTGTGTGTGTGTGTCCATCCAGCCTCATTCCCACCCAAAACCTGGCTCTGCAGGGCTGGAGAGTGGCCTCGGGCCATGCTGGGACCCAGTTCTGGCCCTTTCCCCAGCAACATGCTTTCCTCCTCCTTCACACTTGCCTGGGAAGATGAAGATGAAGAAGGCGCTGATGCCCCCGATGAGCCCTATGACCTTGCCGATATCTGGCACGAACAAAGCGATGACGAGCGTTGTTGCAATCCATGAGACAGTCAGCGCCACCCGGGTCCTCCGCTCGGACGCCTCAGCCACTGGCATGGCCCTGCGCTTGGGGCTCACACACACATCACGGACAACAGACCTAGGGAGGGCAGCAGGGCTGGCTCAGAGCCGCCTGCTCGACCGTGGGGCTCTGGCTCTACGCTGGCATCACACAGGAGGGAGCTGCAGGGTTTACCTGTCTGTGCCCACCACTGTGTCCTCTCACCTGCCCAGCAGCACGACGATGGGGTAGATGGTCACGATGGAAATACCAAACAGTAGGCGGGCAACGATGACAACTGCGTCATTCCCCGGGTAGGACATGAGGATGTCAGCAGCCACGTCCTCACCAAAGGTCAGGTAGCCATAGAGCCCTGCACATGGGAAAACAAGAGGTTAGGATGCTCCTTGGCCACCTTCTGAACAGTGGCACCCAAGAAGGGATGGCAGGAGTGGGACCACAGCCAGCAGGTAGACCCTTGGGGCAACCTACAGAGCAGTTTTGGCACTGCTTGGGGCAAAAGTGGAAGCATCAAGGACTTTGTCATCCATGAAGGAATATAAAGCGCTTAGGTTACCTGTGAGGGTGTAAATGAGCAGGCAGATGAGCATGGAAAGCACGGAGACGGCAACCCAGTGGGTGAAGTTCCGGTTGCGCATGCTGCTGTAGATGGCCACGCAGGCCTCGTGGCACTGCAAGGCACAGGGGACGGCCGTTCTGTGGGGCGCCAGGAGGAGACAGGGGCTTCGGCCATCTCATCCCTTGCGCCTGCCTCCCACTCCCCAGGGAGAGAGCTCCACCATGGTGAGAGCCCTGTTGTCACTGCCCACGTAAGCCAGGTCCCACCATCCCCATGAGGGTGAGGGACTAGCAGCGGGGTGGGCATGGAGAAGCTCGCTCTCTGTGATAGTGTTCACCACCTCCATCTCCCCAAAATCCACTGGAAAAGGCTGTTTCCCCAGATATCTGACCCTGCTCTGCCTTCACCCATTCAAGCAGACTTAGCCCACACATCTCCACTATCTCCCGAAGGAGCACCTTTGGCCTGACAGGAGCCCTGCTGTCCCTCTGGCCCCATGGGAGCTGGAGGTGCCTCCCTTAAGTGCCAGCAGCTCCACTGCCTGACTTGGGGCCCAGAAGAGTCAGTGCACAGGGAACATCACCTGAAATCCAAAACAGATGGTGGGGATAACACTGAACATGGAAGCCCAAGAGGGAGTCCTGCAACACAGAGCAGAGGAAAACAGAAGGTCCCTTGAAGCAAAGAACTTTGGAGGAGCCAACCTGG